GACTGCTTCCAGCTTGCGTCTTGGGAACGTCCCTACTGCAACCTTTTCGTCACCCTTGAGCCTTCCTTTGATTGCTTCTGGGCATCGATTTAAATTCGTGTCGCCAGCAATTATCTCGTGCTGTGACTTTTCATTTGGAGTATGCTGCATCTGGGGGTTACTCTCACCTGTTACGCCAGCTGCCTTGTCCCCTCCCAACACCACCACTACCTCGCTGAAAGTGGGTCTTGCGACCATTGAACTTGCTGAACTTGTTTTTTCCGAACTTCCTTGCTCTTTCTTCTCCTCCGTTCTGGGTTCCGGTGCCCTACCGAGCAGGCACTCCGAAAAAGAGCATCTGGCGGAGAGTCGCGACCTCAGCGGCTCGCGCCCGACGACCAGCCGGACGACCAGCCGTAGCACGCTCGTGGGCTGCTGCCGCACTTCATATTTGAAGGAAGAGCTCCAAAAGCTATTTTGCCAGTAATACTGCACAGTGGTTTAGAAAAAAAAATTGTGCAAAGGCTAATCTCACAGAGAAAGCACTAAAACAGAAAGAAGCCGTCCAAAGCGGATTGCGTGTATGCATATAGTATCGAAAGGACAGCGCTGCCCTGATGGCAGCTCCCTCGTCCTCATTTTCTGGTTGCATGCTGGGTTTTGTGCTAATTATAGTACTGGCTGACATGCCTTCATTCATATGTCCGTGCTGCAACGATACCGCGCTGCAAACATCTTCAGTAAAACAAAACAAGAACAAAAGCGGAGTAAGTGGTAGCTGCATCAATTTTTTCTGGCATCAATTGCACGCTCTGTCCGCGGTATGTATGCACGGGGATGTTGATAAACGAAACCACCATTGCAAAATAGCTCGCGTGGTGTCGCGCTACAATTCTTGAGGGCACGGAATAGATTAGCGACCACGGCGGCCGCACTTCGGTGGGGGTGAAATACAAAAAGAACACCCCTGAACCAAGATATATGTGCACTTCGGAGAACTTCAAGTGACCACAATCTTGATACACACACTACAGCGTACCTCAAAATGATATCTTGTTTGGCATTTTAAAGCCCAGTAATTATCGATGTTCAACAGACTCCTTCAATTAAGGCCGACACGGGCAAGCGGAAAAACGGAAGCTGTGTTGATAGGCGAACTAAACAACGAGTGAAAATCGAAGACGTGATACTTCTCTAGCAAGGCATAAATTCCGATGTTACTTAGTCACGGCAGCCAGTGAGAAAAACACTTACAGCATTGGCTGACTCCCGAAAGCTAAGCTTAGAGCAGTCCGCTGCTTTTTTTCGTAACAAGAACCCTGTCTTTTGCAAAAAACGGTTACACTGAGGCATCCCTGCATGGAGCGTTCACCACGAATTTTTTTTTTATGGCAGCTCAGAGGCGTAGGTGGACTTGTTCTCGCACAAGTCTTGTGGACAAGGCAGCTTTCCTTTACACGCAACTGTATCATTCACTTCACATGGTGGCATCGGGGTTCGGTGGCGGTGGTCAGATGAATGGACGCATGAAAACTTTGTTAGTCCTGACGTGCACGACTCAACACTCAGCGGACCAGATAAAAAAAAGTTTACATAGACCGTATGTTGCGTAATACGTTCGTCTTATATTCGAGAAAACTCCATTCAAACTTAACTATTTGGCCCAGGTCTCCACTGATGGCATTCTTCACTATCGAATAAGCACAGCAGACACACGCCGTTCGGTCTAGAAACGAGCCCGACAGCGCTAGACACGAGAGCGGGAGAGAGTTTTGCTCGCCGGACCACTTGGATGCAACACCGCCTCCTCTTTTTACTTCCTCCATTTTCCCTCTGCGTGCTACCTCTTTTTATATATTGTTTCACTAGAATACGCAGCAGTACCGCTAGCTCACTTTGGGTTTGTTATGGCGATGCGCTCTACCAGCCGCCACTTTCGTCTGTGGGAGCAGCTGAGAAGTGCGCGCTCTCAGACCAGGGTGGTCTTGGAAAATCCAGCGCTGGTTTCTTATTGCTCTCTGAGTTTGACTATTCACTTCGGCCTCAGCTTCGGGTACTTAGGATAGTTGTGAAGGCTAGCGCCCTTCCCATGGGTGCATGATCATTTATAAAGGCACAAAGCAGTACTCCATCATTGTGCAGAAGTCACCGCGAAGTCAAGCGGCCACAATTTTAAGAAACAAAGCACTGTGCTTTTAAAATGAGCGCTGAAAGTAGACACCCACGGTTGTTACAGAACAGCGTCTGCAGCCAACACACAGAAGATAGCCACTTGAACTGCGTCTTTGCTTACTTTTACCACAACGGTTGTTTCCGTACGACGCCGTGACTCGAAAGCGGGTGAATCCTACTCATACAAGCGGTGTTCGCTGCACCGCCATTTGTCGCACACCAGGCCAATAGACCTACTCTATATGAGTAAACACGATAGACACTGTGTGACGTCACGGTGCGTTGGCTCCGCTTAGTCATCCCAGCTAAATGTGTGCCACCACCTTCTGTGATCACGTGACAACTAGCGCGGCAGTTCTCAAGCTGCCGTGTCTGGAGGCTTGTCACATGGTTAAAAGCAACGGCAGCAACAGGGGAAGTGTCAGTGGCTGTATAGGGGTCTTCATATGAGCGTATGAGCTATGTTGGCGTTTATCTCTAGTTTGAGAACCTCATCAAAATATATGAGGCTTCCTAACGGTGGAAATGTTATCGTCATAACTGCAGGCTAAGTTACATGTGCACATTTTTATTTGTACGAATACAAATGCGCGATGTAAAAATACATAGCCATGAATCTTGACACAAAGTCCTCGCATATCACACATGTGCCGCAAAAGTTATTCATGCAAACTACAAGTTGATCTTGGCGACACTTTCATCCGCGACACACTTGCGATAATTATTCAAGAAGATGCTGTGGACTATGCGGTTATGTACCTGTATGGTCTACGGCTCAATTCATACCCTCAAGCCGACGCTGAAAATGCGTACGGACTGTAGACAGAGTCGGCAAGCTTTCCAAGTGATATTTTTCTGTGAATTCACACATACGTGAAAATCTCGAGTAGCACACCACAGCCAGAACAGTCCTGCCTGATACACTTGTGTTAGGTGTGTCATCGCAGCCCCATATAATCACAAAAAAAAGATAGTCATAGTCTTCATTTCGTTAACTGCTTCTTTATTTAACCGTACTCCCGAAGAAAGAAACATATAATCAATCGTCGGCTTGATGACCGGGTGACACTATTCGTTCGCGCGAAATAACGATATCGTTTTGACATGGCAAAAACTTTTGCAGTTATATTAAGATGGCAACCACGAAAAATGCTTTGCATACGGTAATGCAATTCAGAACCTTAACACGCTTTGAGGTAAACGTGCTCGATGCGCCTGCACGACCTATTCTAACGCCTGACAGAACTTACCGTTTGTTTTCTGGGTAAGCCTCTACAAAACGTAATCGATGCAGCAGCGTCAAAGGCGGGTTCTCGCGTTTCACAGCTCCGGCTGATCTGCGTGGATCGTCAACACAAAACTGAAAAAAACCTAGCCCGTCTTTCTTGTACGTTCCCTCACAAATACCTATGACAGCTCGCCGGTATACCCTTTTTTTTTCTCCCTTGCATGACGACAAACAACACATGCACCAGCCAAAAGACAGCATCAAACGCGGTAGGCGAAGCAATTTTTGCCTACCAAGTGAAAACAAATGCTCGCGACAGCAGCACTGCATTTTCGTGACGTATCTCCAGTGGAATTCGTCTATATGTGCTTTTTGCCTGCGTTAGCCAAGCTACAACAGCATACCACGATATTCGAAATCCTGGTCACCTGGAGAGCTACACACTTCATAGCATTCTCAGTAAGTTTCAACCTTCCATTTTCATATAAAGACTACAATTATTATGTAAACAGAAGTGTTAGATGAAGCCACACTTGGAAGACAACATGAGTAATTAGAACCCCCTTTCTCCCTCTTGGCATTTTTTGCACTTTCATGACCAGTATTTTTTACCTTTTGTGCCAGAGGCTGTCGCCTCCCTGTAGCATCCCAACCCGAGAGTTCAAACTTCTTCAATCTTCTCCATCGCTATTGTGTTGTCTTTCTCTCGTCTTCGCTTTTTGTGCTAAATGTGCCGTAAGAAGGAATCAACGTGCCCAACAAGCCACCCTACTGATCAGCTTCGGAAAAATGTTTCGTGGAAACACGCCACGAATATTTTCTCGCAGTACTCGCATTGTAAACACGATTTCACAATGTTACTCACTATTATCAGTGGCTGTGATATGCACCTCCGCTTTTAAAAACGATAGTCTTTCTTGGGGACTTTGGACGCAAACACTTTGGTCTGTCTATCTGTCTGTGCGCGTGTCTGTTTGTCAACCCTTACCGCGAACCGGGTACTCAAAACGGCACCAGCTGATACCCCGAACGGCCGACCCTATCCACAGCACCCGCCAATGTTGCTCAAGATTCTGCGTTCATGCATGTATGATTGTCAATTAAAAAGCAATTATTGCGCATATCTGAGGCGCCATAACAACACGTATATATTCTGCATGTGCACCTTTTGCTAGCAGAGGCATACATAAGTAATTCTAAGTACCGTAGCGTTTAGCACGCTGCGCTGACCATGCAACGCTTGCACGAACAAGCGAGTGTTTTCAACTCTTTGCTAAGACGACATGGATGTGTCACGTACTCGTCGCCTTGCGTTCTACACATCATCACCTAAGCTTGTCTCAAAGGTGACGCGCTTTGTTTTTCAAAAGAAACTGCCAGATGGCGCTCTTTTCTCACGTGTGACGTGACGTGATGCGCTCGTGCGCCTCCGCTGCCCGCTCGATACACTAACGCAGCGCCTCCAGAATACCATTCATCGATTTTCTTGCACAGAACCGTCAAAGAAATGGTTTGTTCACTATCTCCACACGCACGACTATTGTCTTCAGACGACATTTTCAGATTACATGCAGATACAGGGCCATTTTTTTTTACTCAACGCCGTTCTGTCTTTTCTTAGGTGCACCGTACCCTTGTTCTTCATGATGATGTGCATGTACCTTCTGCCACTTATCGCATCTGGCCCAAACACCAAAGAGTTTTACAAGAAGTATTATGCCGAGGTTCAGAAGCACTGGTGGGATCTGCTTCTTCAGGCACGAAATTGGAGAGGAGACTCTGAAACGGTGAGTATACGCATACTGAGGTTTCTCATGAATGTCAAAGAAAAAAGGATGAAATACATGCTTGGGTAGCAGCTGTCACTCCCATCTTAGATCCTACGCTATACGAGAATGCGCACTGACAGAAAATCAGCATAGTTTCTTAAGCGTTCCGCATCTTTCAGTGCATACAATGAAGCGTCGTTTCAATAGTAATCTCTACATCAATTTGTATTGAGTTATGCGCAGACCTTCTCATAAAGAAAAAAACTTCGAATGGCTTAAGCATAACCACCAATCATCTGCGAAGACACAATAAAAACCACTTGTTCAGCCAGGCTAAATACGATATATTTTAGGTCCTCCATACCACTACGCACCTCAAGGACAGAGCTATACTGCATTGCATCAATAACGCTAATATGCAAAAATATTTCTTATTGCAGAGAACTTGAAATTTAAACCGAAATGTGAAATAGAGATAGCATTAGCAAGACTTCTAACAACACTAAAATGTTCTTAGCTTTATCAGCCTAAAAACTTGTGGTAAACATTTGCTTACTAATAAATGGACGTGAAATGCACCATCGCGCACAGAAAAACGAGTGAATTTCATCCCATTGCCACAAAAACGGCCTATTAGAAAGAACACTGTTGAGACAAACAATCTTCAGACAAGTGAACACTCGCAGTAATGCCTTCTTGCTTTTTTAAGATGGCGTAAGCTGTGCCACAAAACGCACGGACACTTGAGGATGCGAGAAGGAACACTATAGCTAAGGAAACGGCCTTTGCGCCCTGCAGGACCACCTCATATTGCTTGAAGGCAGGGTTTTTTGCCTTTTTTGACGGGCTTCCCCACCCTCTGCCCACTGAATCGTACACTGAAAACTCGAGGGGATACAACTTCACTTGCCACTTCCAAGCCCTTCCAAGCCCCAGCACTCATCTGCCGTTGTAGTCGTTGTCCCCGCCACCTCCTCTCATATGCATGTGCACGCACCATCTCAGCGATGCCAGTGCGTGTGCCAAGACCGTGCCCCTACATTCATATTTATTCCCAGGTGCGTTTTCAACGTTGCCTATGAGTTGTGTATAAACTTTAAGGTGCGAGAACGTCGCCTCGCGCGTTGCCTGCAAGATGTGTTGTTGATAGATTGAGATGACCACCAGCGATCGCGGCTCAAGCGAACGGAGAGGCACCGGCGTGCACGAAGTGTGCGTTCTGGGTGACCAGGCGTGGTTGTGCGTGCCCTATCTTTACAGGGACCAGCAAACCGCCCATAGCTTTGTACCTGCTTTGCGCAGACCACTTTGTTCGCATAAATGTTCCTTCTCTCGCTGCAGTGGCCACGCGTCTTCAGGCAAGTGTTTAGCATGGTAACGCCAGTGCGTACACGAAAGGAAATTGAGCTGCTAGCCTTACTTCGTAAAACACTTTAGTTTGTTTCTTTCACGTTCATTTCTTTGCACCTGCTGTCAAACATACTTTTCTCTTGGTTGCACAGCACACTACCCAAAGGGTAGGCTAGAATTTTATCACACTTAGGCTTTATGCGATTTGTTACTGCAACGCCGCAGACAAGCTTTCGCTTGCGGTTTCCCTGACATATGCAGCACCACTGAACATACTCAAACTGCTTTGCCCTACTATAGTTAGAAGCTGCTGCTCATTATATTTCCAAGATATATCACATGTCTGCTGTAATAAAATAGACCCAACACGTATTTCTTTATTTGGCATAGTTAGAGTACAAGTAGGGTGCAGATGTACGCACTCCAGAGGCTGACAGACAGCAAAGGTAGCATGAAGTTATGGGGTGATTGTGATCACTGTTTTCTCTTCCCTTTTGGCGGGGTCTAAGTATCGGCTTTAAAACGTATAAAGCTTTTTGCTCATTACAAAATTGTGGTTTAACATTTTGGCTGACGATGTTGTTTATTATTCAAAAATGGACAAGGCAAGATTAACTGAGCAATATGTTTTAAGATATTGTTTTTTATCCTATCGCAAAAATATAGGTGACATGATATATAAATGCAACAGAAGCTGGTAGTCAAGAAAAAACTGTCGAGAATTTCATTAGCACAAAAAGTACATATAAACACGAGTTAGATCGCAGCAAACCAGTTAAAACAGCAGTGCTGAAAGCACGGTTTTAAACATATAAGGAGGCATATATATGAGAATTCTTGATTAGCGATGTAGCGATATTTGGCGAGGTAGGATTGGCTATAAAAGCATACAGGAAGGCCTAGTACACATTACACAATACATGAAATGCATTAATTACCGGAACTATTACAACGTGATGGTGATAGGTAAAAGTTAGCTTGCATTTAAAATAAATAATGAAACGTTCTGTGGAATGCGAAGAGTACCAAGGTTATTTTAAAACGCTGCAGAGCATCTCTTCCGTTGAGCGATTGAGGGTACTCTAATAAGTTGTTACCGTAACAAAGCCACCGTGAGGTGATTCCTAAAGTGTGTGAATAGGTAAATGTCAGTTATACCAATTGTTTCATGAAAATGCCAAATTAACGTGCGATACCCAGCTGTGTCTCAAAACAAAGTTACTGCAGTCATTTATACACAAAAAGCCAGCTGGGTCATTTCACGCCAAATGTCCCAGCCATTTCGGCAGTCAACTGATATGTATTTAAAAAATTGTGCCCATTTATTGCATTTAAAACAGTAAACTGCTAGAATATTAGGAACAAAATGTTTTAGTGAGGTGGCTGCCTTCTGAACTTACCGCCATGTCATCTAGGTGTTGTTAGTGAAAAAAATATTTTGAGTGTGCCACTCCTTCTTTCTGTGGCAAATTTGGTATGCATGGTAATTAAAGAACTTTTGTGTGGTATTTCAAGCTCAGCTACAAAAATGCATTGTTTCGGCCACATACGCCTTTAAAAATTGAGCAAAAAGGCACTTTGTTATCGTTTGGTCTGTTGCGACACTTCATTTTGTATGAATATTTGAGTAGAGATTACTTACTCCACAGAAATTATTTTTTATGGAAAAGAATATTTTAGACCTCCCAAGCGTGTCAACTCTACATGAAAAATCACAAACTTCATGAAATTCTCATGTTTGTCAATATTGTGACACAGTTTGCACCATGTGATGCTGCATTTAAAAATTACCTTTGTACCCAAATTGAAAACAAGTAAACAGTTATTTTTTGTGGAAAATTCTATCATTACAATTTCTGTTCCAAATAAGAAACAAGTCACAGTTACGCAAAAGGGGCGAAGCAACGAATGTGATGGCAACATATTCAAATGTTCTACAAAGCAAGGCTAGCATGTTGAGGAGCAACAATATTTGTAGTAAATATTTTCGGAGCCTTTCAACGATGGTGTCTCTCATAATCATACAGTGGCAGTTATACATTATTTGCAGTAAACATGCGCTTGTTAAGTAACTTATTTTTTTGTGGTGTGGCCATAGCGGAAAATTTGAATTTTATACGAAGTGAGGCTGGCAGTCAACTCATTTAGATATGATCTCACGCAACTCTACAATAGCTGGTGCAAAAGAACAAGGTCGCTTCAAGTACACTTTTGGCACCGTTTTTTCGAGTTGCGACTGCGGCTCTTAGAAAATCGCACCTGCTATGGGGGCACGAGCCGCGCGCTGATTGTTTCCACGGTAGCGCGGTAACCATAAGTGGCCCCTACCTGCCCTCGTTTGCTCACAAGGTAAGCGCGTGCAGATGACCCCGGTCGGAAAGGCGAGTATTCATGCGCAGAAAGAGGAGGATAGCACATCGATCCCTCTATATACAGGGTGCCTAGGAATCTTCAGCCAGAGTTTAAAAATATGCCAACACACAAAATTAGGACACGACGAAATTCTTGTTGCTTAGCTTTGCCTGGAGTCAATCTGACTATTTTTCTCAGTTTTAAAATATTTTTCAATTAGATCTTTTTAATTAACTAAATTTTCAAGAAAAGAAGATCCATAAAAGTTTCAATGAGAAAGTTGTAGATCAGTTGACAAAACGTCCCATTAGAGAGTTTAGAGCTTTGTATCTAAAATTTATTAGTGTTTCATGCGAACTACAAGTTCCCGAGAATGAGAAAAAATATCAAGGGACCAACCCACTGGCGCGCCTACGCATGCCATGATTCTGGTGCTCTCTAATACTCTGCGTAGCTTCTACTTCCCACGCTTATTCCGATGCCCCAATTTCTTCTTCTTCAAGATACTGCTATGCAGGCCACACTTCATAGTTACAACTCCACACACTCTGATGCCACAAACTCACCAAGAGCGTCCACCCTTGTCGACCGCAGTCTCACATACAAGACACACTACATCACATACCACACACCCTGCGGTATAACTAAAATTATTCACCACACACGAAGTGACTTTGAAACAGGGCAAGGGATGAAAAAAGCACAGTTTAGTTACTGCCTCTCTCAATGGAGGGCACCTCCACAGTTCTGCGCCGGGAAGGGGGGAATGGGAATTAAAGAGACAGAAAAAAAGTAATAGAAGGGTAGTGAAAAGCATTCGATCGCTCGCGTCGCCACGCACATACCATCCCATCTATATATATCTCTAATGTTTACCACGCGCCGTCTAAACCGATGGCCTCATTCAACTCTCTGTTCCGGGAGCTGCATCGACTGGCGGGGAAACATTCCTTGCTTACCAGTGGTGATCTCAACACTCAGCCTACTTACTGGGAATAAAAAAAACAACCACACATAGAGGTCGCAGATTATGGCTGCTCCTACAGAACCTCCAACTCTACGCCCCCAACAACTTTCAGACACCTGCACGGATAGGAAGCAGTGTTAGTATGGACGCTAGTCAGGACCTGGTGCTGAGTCACTCTCTCTCTATGGTCACATGGACGAGAACACCGTGCATACTGGGCAGCGATGACCACATTATACAAGTATCGATCCCCTTAAAATAACCCCGGCACACCTCTAGGACACACAAACTCATTGAGTGGGACGTTCTTCGTGCTGCGTGTACCATCCGCGCACACAATCTGATCACGAACATCAATGATTGGGTACACTCTCTTCAGACCAACGTCCACCATCATACGCGACTGATTAAAACCACTGAAGACACCCATACACTCGAAAACAGACTTGCACACCTGTGTGATGCTAATCACAACCTTGTAGAATGATTGAAACGCGGTATACATAACAGGACACTAAACAAACGCAGAACCACTTTGTATTCTGAAATCCAACAACATTCAGAGGAGCTATGCTACTCCGATTGGGGGCAAGTATGCGATGGCATTGCTAATAGGTTTACCAGCAAAAAAGCATGGCACCTCCTCCGACACCTCCTTGACCTATCGCACACGAAAACCACTACCCAGCACTACGTCACCCAGCTTATCCAGACACACATGGACAACCCTAATGATCTCTTAGATAAACTTCGTGACACCTACACATCGCCTGGAATACCAACTGCTCTTCCATTATACACAGGACAGCCGAACCCCGAAATCGACACCGACATAACCAAGGTGGAGGCAAGAGCCGATCTTATGACACTCCTCCGTTCTTTTGACACTCCTTTTGACACACTTGCTCCAGACGCCTCTCCCGAAGCTACAAAGGAAGCACAGCATGTTTTATCCGATTCCCAAACCGTAGTTTTAAATTTCTTTGCGAGGCCGACTTCACGTCACTGCTTTTTGCATACTGAACTCACTCGCTGAATGACCACCCCGTAATGTGGAGCTCATCTGGATGCCCGCGCACTCCGGGAATCCTGGAAGCCAGGCCGCAGACCTCTTAGCCTGAGGTGCCCTAAACCGGCAACTGGCGGCCTCTGACCCCGGATGTTCTAAGGAGCACGCGCACACTTTGAACGAGCTCACTCAGGTCTATAGAGCAGAGTGCCAGCTTTCTCTACTATCCCACAAGTCCCACATAAACCGACAGGTCACCCTCTGGTGCCGGCTGCAGACTCACACTCTTCCCTCTCCTCTCATCCTGTCACACTATCACTCCCTTTTTGCAACACAAGCCTGTACTCTCTGCCCTGAATCTCATGCTTCTGCTATACACATCAGTTTTCACTGCCCGGCGGATCCTCCCTCATGGTCTCTAGAACATCTGAAGACCTGGGAAGACTGGGAGACCCTACTGCGTTCAGAGGACCCGGTTGAGCAGACAATGGCTGCCGAGCGGCCTGCCAGCGTGATAGAGTACCATAAAATGAGCGAGATTGTGCGGGGGCCCTGGAGCCTGCGTGCTCCAAACTTTTCTGTTGAAATAATGTTTTCACACTCCTCCTCCTCCTCGCAACGGTTCATAACAGCAATAAGCAGTCACAGTGGTTATCGCTTTTGTGACCAAAAGCACACTATGTTCATCGCAAAGACTCACCCCTGTCGAGACAGCACAATCGTTCAAATCGTTCGTACATAAAATGTTTGAAATTACTAGAGTAATCATGCGCACTGGCGCATGAGCGAGTTTGTCACGTGGTATTTTTTGTATTTGGCGGGTATTTGTAGTTAGCAAAACACTTATATTTAACAGATATAAAGTTCGAAATTGTCTAATCGGACCTTTTGCAAAGCGATCGCCAACGGGCTCATTTAAACTTTTTTATCCATCTTCGTTCCTTCAAAAGCTAGTTGGAGAGATCTTAATAAACAATATTTTATAACACAAGAGAATAAGCGTGACCAACTCCAGGCTGTGGTTAGCAACATGCATTTGGTGCATCATGATTGCTTGTGTCGGCATATTTTACTACTCTGGCTAAAGATAGATGGGGCACTCTGAATATACACACACATACATATACGTGAATGATGGCGGCGGCAATGGCAAAAACCATTCGAGACTGTCTATATAGTTTCTTTCCCGATAAAAAAATTTTTGAAGTTTGCCATTCGTGGCTATATTGCCATTTGGTCGGACAACAGTTGCCAACTTGACGCCTATAGCCGTCAATGAGAAAGTTGAAATATACTTTCCTTCCTTAAAACAAAAACTGTTACGATGAAACTTGCCATGTACAAAAAATGTTTACTTGCTTTCTATCTAGGTATGAATAAAATTTTTATTTAGACCATTAAGTGGCACTAATTGTGGTTAATTATGGACCAAAATGACAAAATTGTGAAATCGATGCTTTTTCTTTGAAAAGTTACCAGCTTGAGATGAATTTATAAGTGAAAAAACCTAATTAAATCCAATAAAACAAGCTAGAAGCGGGCCGCTTGTACGCTGGGACCGAAAGACCTAGCCTTTCCCCCGTTTCGCAGGACCATTGCACTGATCATGATTGTCCCTTCAACATAGTACTGCGCGAAGCTCCGTCCCCTCGTTCTTCAGTTTTTCTACAAATAGTTTACCTCAAAATATACTTTCTGTGAAGTAAGTATTCAATGCTCAGATATTGATACAAAGTGCAGTATTGCAATAAAGAATGCAAACACACTTTTGTTAAATTCTCGGAGGCGTAGGTGGCCAAAAAGTTGTATTGATAATACTGAACTTCAAACACCTTATAAAAGCCCCTTTACTTAACGTGTAGACCAAACTTGGTATAGAAAGAAGAAGCGGTACTTTTAAAACATTTTTCACAAACAACGCATAGACAACAATCTCAGAAGTTCAAAAGGCAGCCACGTGACCAAAGTTCACTGTTTTCAATGGATTATATCAGCATCAATTCTTTCTCAAATACATTAAAGACGGTCGCCAAAAAGACTGCGGATGCTTGGAATGGAATGACCCAGCCGTATTTCTCAAACTCGGAAGAGGGAAGGCGAAAACACGCAGACAGTGAAGGGTAGTTTATGGGACAATATAATTTTTCTCATGTGTTTTTCGCGCTGCCCAGCAGAGTACTCATAAATGCACAAACGTGCCAAAAACCTCCATTACTGCTGTGTTTCCGTGCTGGTATATGTATACTTGTGCAAGTGTTGGAATAAACACTCTTCAGTACTGCTTGACTGAACACTGCCAGTCTCGAGTAAATAGATATTAATCGCAAACTTTCATTTCTGTTGCTTAATAAGATGTCTTCATCACTACCTATTTTACTGATGTGTTCTTTCTTTTCAGTCCACCATGTTGCACTTGTGGTACCTTTCTTCAGACTTTCAACTATTTGTAGTGGCTGTCATTGTCATTCAGACGTGCAGGACGTAAGTACAACACGAATATAACCCTTTTACTCTATGCAAAAAGGGAATAATTCTTGTAGTAATGATCAAGGCTCAGGTCAAGCTTTCAGAAAAAAATTGAGAAGTTCCACTTATCCAGCATATGGGGAAAGTAAACTAGATCTTTGACGAGAGTGCCAGAAAGGGTACGTGGTCAAGTGTCATTATTTTCAATATTATTTATCATCACTGCTAGAAGCCAATGCAAACACAGTTAACGCACCATGCCTTAGAGCACCACTCTTCAAACTGTATTACTTTAACCTGTAAAATAATTTCTGAATTTGGTATGTAGTACATGTGAAGTTGCGGCAACTCTTTTTTTTTCTCCTGCATAAACTGCACTGATTACAAGTGTCTGGCACTATAAAGACGCCTTTATTCAGTAGTCAATACTTGCGTAATTGGGGAATGACTACTGCCAATGCTGCATCTGTATTGATTGTTCGTAAGAATGACAGATGCGTTAAAAGCTGGAAGTGTTTGTGTGTTTATTGAAAAGGGCTGCTCTGCGTCGTTATTTCTAAGTGTGCTTTATATTGCCTAGGTAGAAGGATAGCTTTCACAAACTTGGGGAAAATTTTTCTCGTTAATTTTTGCAAGTATGCAGTTTTATTTGGGTCTCAAGACTCTTTCATATTTGATGCAATCCGACTTTCCCAGTGCAAAAAACTTGAGACGGTTACGCACGTGTAGTCCAAACACTGTAGAAACTCAAAGCGGCGAGCCCTACCTTTCTCCTCACCTACCCTTGCCTTTCCCACCCCCTAGGTATGATAAAAAATGAATGCTCATGCTATCCTTTTTCTCTGAGTGATTTTATTTTTGTCTGTTTGGCTTTCACTGTGTATTTCACTCTTCCTGATGCTCTTACTTTCTGTTTCTTTTTTGTTTTCCTGTTTATTTCTTTCTTATTCTCTCGCCCATAGAAATGTAATATCTGCATCATATGGTTCCCGTAATTCTGCTAGCGTGCCAGAATAGCCGAATCATTACAGCACTGGCCTTTGATCCGTAGACACCCGGGTGAAATCTTGTGTTCTGAGAAATTTTAGATGCGAAGCTTTTTATGGTCCACTTCAATGTGGTTGCAGCGTGACCACCTCTACAGCGCATGCGCGTCACCCCTCTCATGCCTCGCAGCGCCAATGCAGGAGCGTCTGCTAGCATACGCTCTCCACCCCCTCTCTCTCTCCTATAGGCACCCCTTCCCACGGCATCTACACGTCAATTACGAATGCGCGTCTTCTACCTCCCTCGCGCCTCGCAACGCCGATGTAGGCAGCGGTCGTTAGGAGAATAATGACTGAAAAAAATTCTCTAAAGTTGATGCGCAAAACGAAGTTAGGGAGGAGGCAAGAAATGAAGTTGGAACTACCAGCGCGAACTCCTAACTGAAGTTTATTGAAAGAACATGGAAGAAAGAAGGCTTTCAGGAAAAAGCCGGTTTATCAAGAGGGTGGAGAAATCTTGCTCAACCCTCTCTAGATGCTACATGTAAGGTGATTACGTTTACGAGATCTAGCGATGACGCAGATTTATTTTCCGAGTATGCTGACTAAATCAGTATTCCTAGCTTTTGATAAATACGATTTCCGTCGGGGTAAGTAAATTGGAGCTTGAACCGAGACATGTGCTTTCCTGGTCCAGTAAGTGAAAGGCTTCCGAAATTTCGCTTGTAGTCTTATTTCTTGATCGGGCGAAAGCTGGCGTTTTTTCTAAGATTCGGCTGCACCCACACTCCCTGCGCTGCTTAAAAAGGTTGCCTGTAATCGCCGTTCAGTGGGATGTCTAGGGATGCACTTTGAACCCCTCGTTGATGCATCATCCCAATTGACCAACTTATGCCTTGCCACCTGTTAGTGAGGTAGAGTATACGATGGCTACCACACGGTAAACCTATTTTTCACCTATGACGTGTTCGGCATCCGTCTTCGCACCAGGAAGTGCTTTTTTTGGCACACTCCTTTGGACTTTCGGATCATGCCTATCGTTTTCTAATTAGGAATTGCTTTGTGAACGTATGGGACCACTACCGGCTGTCTGTCATGCTTGGGCAATTGTTTGCTTCGCTTCCGTTTCATATCTTTCGGAATGTTTTCCTCAAATGATACGAGCACACCGTCTGGGTAGCCAATTTCTCGTAGGCGCTGTGTTTGCAGGTTAGTGCTCTCATCGCATCTGTGTGCACAGGACGTTCTGATAGATTGTGTCATGCTTGCGTAAGCAATGACCCTTTTTACTAGTTTTGAGCGCGCGGAATCAAAGCGGAGCTTAGCTTTTTCTCCTCTTGTACGGTGCATGTAGAAAATGTGGCTTCTTTCATGTTTTAAGTCGAGGTCTAGGTATTGCACAGCGTTTTCAGCAGAGACTTAGTCCGTAAATTGAAAACCTCGTGCGCCTCCTCAAACATTGACTACTGCTGTCACTCTGATTCTGTCTTGTGACTGGTTCAGGCATTTGAAGTAGTCGTCGACGTATCTGAAGCACTTCGCCACGTTGGACCTTTGAAACTGCTCGTGTAGTGTCCTGTGTCCTACCGCCAGGAACAAGTCTGAGAGTATAGGGAACATGCATGATCCTATGCAAATCCTATCAATTTTCTTTTATTTGTCGCTACTGTATTATACGCGTAACGAACCTTGGTAAATCTCAAGAAGTTTCATAAAGTTCACTATACTGATCACGCATGGGTTTTGAAATCTATCAGTTTCAAATTCACTGATAGAACATCCAACAGGTATGAGAGCTCTGAGAGTCACATCTGCAGAAAACAATGTATAACCTTGACGGTGTTTTGAAGGATTCTTCTACTGCGTCTGAGTTTCAAATGAGAAAAGGATCATCAACGGCAAGGGTTTTCAGGAACTCATGTAAAAAGCATTCCAAGCTGTTTTGTCAGATCGAGCGTCTTTCTACAGTAAGTCTAAACGGGTTCCCTTTTTTATGTGTCTTAACTGCGAAATATGTTCTTGAGTGTCTCTGTCGCTCTTTTTAAGGCTCTTTGCCAGTTTTTATTCGAATTTACAGAAAGGAGTTTCCTGCTTCACCGTGACGTTTCTTAACGTTTTTTGTTCATCTTGTTGTCTTGCGCGAAATGCTTGTTAAGTGCTTCTATCGCTTTTTCATAGTGCATGGCGTTGCTCGTTATAACAAACACTACCATCTTGTCTGATAGAAGCGAACTAAAGTAGAGCTGTCTGAAGTATGTCAACACTTTTTTCATTCCAGCTGTTGGTTCTAATCTCTGTCTGCTTTTTTTCATGCCAATTCCCTTTAGGCCGTTTCTGATTCCCACCAATCTCGCCTGTTTCGGAATTTCATTGGTGACCTTGCGTTATGTTTTTACGTATTCTGCAGCATCCAGCTTACGCTGTTATGCAAATTTAGGTCCCTTGTGAAAAATTGCCGGTATTTCTTCGTGGTATGCTTTGTGCGAGCCGGTTAATGGCTGCATCTCTTGTCCTCCTTTCATTGTACGAGACCGTTCTTTTTTGCTTACAAGGTAGGTAAGCAAACGTTCCTTCCATACTAATTCTGCCTGATGTTCCACTAACTCAAAAAAGCGTCTGTTTATACTTTTGCCAGCTGCAGAGTTTAGTGAGCAAGTGCACAAAGCCGAAATATGGTCTTTGAAAAGCTGTACTTGCCTCCAGTTCTCTTGGCAAATAATTTTGCAGAGACAGTGGGTCGTGCTCTCCGCTGGTGTGATTCCACGAAACATTGTTGTTCCTATTGGTGTAGCGAGTCCTTTTGCCAAATAATAGGTGCACATCCTGGTTCGCTGTCTTGCTGTCACAATGATATTGATGCAGAAACAATTAAAGTTAGGCGGGGGACCGGGTAGAACCTCGAAGCCAGTTGTACATGAAATAAAAGTGAACAAAGTGAGGTAGTAATCTAGTTGGTTTTCCATGACTCAAAACAATGCACTACAGTTGCTGCGGAGAACAAAGTTAAGGAGGAAACAACGATTGAAGCGGACGCAAAGAGCACGAACTATCAACTGAAGTTAGTTAAAAGAACGTGGAAAAAGAAAGGCTACCAGGAATCGCGCCACTATCTTGCATCTTGATATCAAGGTAGTACCGCTAGGAGATTTCTTCTGTGCGTAGATGAAATATAAAAATTATCAGTGTACGCTTTAACTAAAAGCAGACTGTGGGTGTGTGTGGCCAATCGGAGTCTTCGGTCTCTTATTGCCCATTGAGAGTGATTGGCATGTTCCTGTAAGAAACACTGGCCAATCACTGCGTGCATTTCGCCTCCCCAGGTTTCTCTCCTACTCAACGCCGTGATGAGCGCCTGCGCCAACTTTGTCACCAATGTAAGCGTTAGCTCGCACATTCCCATGGTTTCGTTTAGCGGGAGGTTGTGTACCTTTTTTTTGGTTCATTATTTTCTTCTCCTCTCCACTTCTCTTTGCATCTCTTTCGCCTCCTCCAACGCACACAATCGCTCTATCTGTATTGGTTCTTTCACCCATTCCAGTTATCCCATTCCACACTGCACAAATAGGCTCAGGCATTCCAAAAGAGCCAGAAGAGGCCGAGGAGATTGTGTGCCAGTTCTTAATGATTATATTTCTCCCAGAGACTATAGGAGTTCATTCGACCAATAACGGGTCACCTGTTAAAAGCATAAAGAACACCAGAAAACATGAAGTAGAATGCGCTCCTCGTGATTTACAAGGAGCTTCTTCATCGACTGGTGTTTGTTCATTTTCGATAAAATTGCTTTCTCTCTCTATCAATGCTCCCTGTACATGTTTTCACAGCATAAATTGCTGAATGAAAAGTCGCCAACGTACTTGTGGTTATTCGCAACACCTTGTCAAAAGCAACCTGAGAACACTTCCTCCTCAACTTCTCCATCTTCAGCAAAAGATCTGTAAGCTACTTTATAGTGTCTAGAATTGACTGACTAGTGTACCTTTCACCAGCTATTTTAATCAAGGAGGGTGGCACCCATTTGGATGAATG